CGTGCATTCTGGGATTGGTAGTTCTCGTCCCTGCGTTGTTGGCCTGCGCTGCCCAGGGCCAGGAACTCGACTTCCCGGCTTGCCGCGCGGCCGAGGGAGCAGCCCGGCGACCAGGAAACGGGGAAGATGGCGACTACTCGGCGACGTTGAGGCCGCGTTGGGCGGTTTGGGCTCAAGAGTGGTGAGTCTCGGGCGGTGGAAGCGGTTTCCACGAGCCTGCAGAGAAGGCGAGAGTGAGGGCACAGCGGTTGACCTTGTCTCTGGGAGGAGGCGAGGAAGAACGCCATAGGGAAAGGGCACGAGCTTGGAAAGCTCTATCCTGCAGGAGGGAAGGGGCGCGGGCCCCAGTGGGAGTGTTGGCTCCGGCGGGGATAGGGCAGGTCCCTGGACGATGTTACGGGTCAGACCTTTGCCCATGCGCACAGCACCCGTGATAGCCTCAGTCCGATCTTATTCCTTCATGCTTGGAGTAGCCCTTGCTCCAGTCAAACTGAAACTCTGGCTTTTCTCCGTAACTAGTCATGCTTTCCCGCCTCTGCGCGTCCTGTATCATTTCTTTTGCCGGGAATGACTTCTTTCCGGCACCCTCAATTACACATCTTCCAATTCTACCTATATTTAAATATTCAAGAGCCACTTCCTCTACACTCTTTCCAGATTTCCTTTTTCAAGTGAAAAGAAACTTCTTTGAACTCCTGCAATAATTCATCTGAGCCTGCATCTTGGTATGTGCCTCATATCCTCTATTGTTTTGTAAGCTTCCTGTGGACAGGGTCTTCCTGATTTCCTTTTGTAACTCACATTGTGCCTAGCACTGTGCCTTGCATATGGTGGTTGTTTGATAGATGCATACTTCATTGAATGAAAAAAAAAGACTCTGCCCCTGTCCTGCAAGCACTGAGGAACTCAAAGATCCGGAGGTTTGTGATGAGTAGAACCTATAATAAAAGTTGCCTGTGGTTACTGTCTGCTTATTTGCACTTCTCATTTTCTTCTAAACTCATTGCACTCAGACTTTTACTCCCACCATGCCATTAAAACAGCTCTTGTCATCTCTGTTTTAGAGGCGAGGGTGACTCCTTTATCTTCCAGTCTTTCTCTGCTTGACACAGATCAGCATTCCCTCCTTGAAACACATTTTTGGCTTCTGTGATGGCATACTTTACTATCTTTTCTTCTTTTTCACTGGCTATTGTTTCTTTCCAGTTTTCTTCTCTGGCTTCTATGCCTGACTTCTAAATGTTACAGTGTTTCAGAGCTTAATCATGGGTCCTCTTTTTTAAAAAAATATTTATTTATGACTGAGTTGGGTCTTAGTTGCAGTCTCGGGTTGGGGGGGGGGTGGCGGTGGCAGCAGTGTGGTGTAGGTTTTTTCTTGCCAGCGCTTGGGCTCTCTTGTTGTGGCATGTGGGCTTAGTTGCTCTGTGGCATGTGGGATCTTACTTTCCCGACCAGGGATCCAACCTGTGTCCCCTGCATTGAAAGGTGGGTTCTTAACCACTGGGCCACCAGGGAAGTCCCTGGGTCCTCCCCTATTTTCTTCCTAACTAGAATGCCTACTTAAGTAATAATCATTTAGCGTCCTATGGTTTTAAAAGCCATCTGTATATTGATAACTCACGTTACTGTCTCCAACTCTCTCCTAAGTTCCAGAATTGCTGTTTCAGCTGCCTTCTTGGAATCGCCACTTGGTTTTCTTATGCTCTACCGACTGAGCTATCCGGGCTGTCTTTCCACTTGGTTTTCTTATTGATATGTTACATTCACCGTGATCAAAATGAAACATTTAATTTCTTCCTCAATCGTTTCCTTCCCAGTCTTCTCCAGTCACTAATGGCACTGTGAAACATTTAAGTTCACAGACCATATGTTTAGGAGTTTTAGTGTTTCTCCCCTTTGTTTCCTGCCTTCATCAGTAAGTCCTGTCAACTCTGTCTTCAGAATCTGCCTCAGGCTCTCTACTTCTTTCCGTCTCCACTCTCACTTTTCTAGAACAAACCACTGTTACCTTTTAAAAAATATTTATTTATTTATTTGGCTGTACCGGGTCTTAGTTGTGACACAAGGAATTGTTTAGTTGTGGCATACAAACTCTTAGTTGTGGCATGTGAAATCTAGCTCCCTAACCAGGGATCAGACGTGGGCCCCTTGCATTGGGAGTACAGAGTCTTGGCCACTGAACCACCAGAAAGGTCCCCACTGTTACCTTTTGTCTGGACTACCATAGTAGCATTCTCAGTGGTTCTTTGTCCATTCTTGCCTTTTGCAAGTCACCAAAGTGATCCTTTAAAAATGTAAAATAAAATCATATGACTTCCAGTTTAACACCTTTCTAAGGTTCCCACTGCAGTTAAACTAAAATCCAAGTTCTTCTAGCTTGGCCTAAAACGCGTTTCCCTGATCTGACTCCTGCCTGCCTCCTTGAACGCATCCTGAGTCAGTCTTCCCCCGTGGTTACGGCCACTCCTGACCACATGAGTCTGTTTTTTTGGCAGTGCTGCACAGCTTGCAGGGTATTAGTTTCCTGACCAAGGATTGAACCTGGCCCTGGCATTGTGAGGGCCTAACTCTTGGACCACCAGGGAATTCCACACATGTGTCTATTTTTAGTTAGCAAACATGCTAAGCTAGCTCTTGCCCCAGTGTCTTGCTGTTCCTTCTACACAATAAATTCTTTTCTTTGATTTTTACAGACTCTCTATGTCCCATCATTCAAGTCTCAGCTTACATGTCATCTAAAAAATTCTTTCCAGAGCCCTCTTGTTCACGCTGCTCCCATCACACACCCTGCTTGGTTCTCTTCATTAGCACTTGTGCTGTTTGAAATTCTCTTATTTTCTGCCTAACTGCTGTCTGCTTCACTGGAATTTAAGCATTATGAGATCAGAGACTTTGTTTTGTTTATTGCTGAATCTCTAGTACTGGAATAGTTTCTGGCGCCTCTCAGGTAGTCAGTATTTGTTGAAATAATGATGATGTCCAGGATGCTTTTTTTTTTCATTTATTTTTATTAGTTGGAGGCTAATTACTTTACAATATTGTAGTGGTTTTTGCCATACATTGTCCAGGATGCTTTATAGAGAAGACTGCCTTACCTCTGGATTGTTTTCTTAGGGCTATAAGTGGAAGAGACATGAGTATAATGTCCATGTTCTATGCATGATGTACTGGCAATTCTGAGGTAAAATAGGTTGTCTCCAACTTTTAAAAAGTGCTTCTTGTTCATTTTTCTTTTCTTTACCTACTCTCCCTTCTTAAAGATACATGGCAGGAATTACATGAGAAAGGGGGATTGTAAGCTGTAGCTTAGGGAACTGTTATTTCATGGGAACCATTCGGAGATAAAGTAAGTTTTGAGAAATATACCCTGAGGCTTAGGAATGATGATGGTGATGGTAGAATAGAGGCAAATTCAGACTTGCTGTCTGAATTTAGCACCTCTCTGAAATAGATTTTGTAGTCTATAAAGGGCAGCTGACAGTATGGCATGGTGTTCAGTATCCCCCAGGCAGGATGGAGACAGAACAATTCTTGCTCAAACTTTTTGTGGGACTGGATCATAATCAAGGCTGTGAAAATCTGAGTACGGCATGTCAGAACGTCTGTGACCTCTAGTTTTTGGTACACTTCTTCCTCCTTCCCTCCCTCCTTGCTCTATTCCATCCCTTCCTCCCTTATTTTTAATTCTAAAATAATCATAGATTCACAGTTCAGTTCAGTCGCTCAGTTGTGTCTGACTCTTTGTGACCCCATGGACTGCAGCACTCCAAGGCTTCCCTGTCCATCACCAACTCCTGGAGCTTGCTCAAACTCATGTCCATTGAGTCGGTGATGCCATCCACCGTCTCATCCCTTGTCATCCCCTTCTCTGCCCGCCTTCAGTCTTTCCCAGCATCAGGGTCTTTTCAAATGAGTCAGTTTGAATCAGGTGGCCAAAGTATTGGAGTTTCAGCTTCAGCATCAGTCCTTCCAATGAATATTCAGGACTGATTTCCTTTAGGATGGATCAGTTTGATCTCCTTGTAGTCCAAGGGGCTCTTAAGACTCTTCTCCAACACCACAGTTCAAAAGCATCAATTCTTCAGCGCTCAGCTTTCTTTATAGTCCAACTCTCACATCCATACATGACTACTGGAAAAACCATAGCTTTGACTAGATGTACCTTTGTTGGCAAAATAATGTCTCTGCTTCTTAATATGCTATCTAGGTTTGTCATAGCTTTTCTTCCAAGGAGCAAGCATCTTTTAATTTCATGGCTGCAGTCACCATCTGCAGTGATTTTGGAGCACAAAAAATAAAGTCTCTCACTGTTTCCATTAGATATAGATTCACAGGAAATTTTAAAACCAAAGTGCATGGAGGTCCTATGTACCTGTCACCCAAGTTTTTGCCATTGCATAACTAGAAGTACATTTCTTAAATCTGTGTAAAAGTGAGTTTCTCTTCTATTTGAACTTAGGTTTTCTTGAGGTGCTGATCATAATCCCACATCTCAAAATTAAACTCCTTTTTTCTCTTTTGAGTTTTCTTTATGTGCTCCAGAGAAATCTCTCTTAGATATAGATGTGTTGATTGATCCTGGTGGGCTGGCAGATACAGTAGATTCCTAAGATAAGCAATACAAGATATTTCTAGAGATAGCTAGTATACTATTCATTTGGTATCATTTTTTTTAACACTCTTGCAGTTTAATTATATATATATATATATATATATATATATATATATATAAACACAAAAAGGAATCCCAGAGAGATACTATTAATGAATAAGAATGGGCCTCTGGAGCCAGACTGCCTGAAACTCTGACACTTAACACCCAGGTGTCCTTAGGCAAGTTACTTTATATATCTGAGCTTCAGTTTCTTTATCCATAAAGTAGGTACACCACTATATCTTCCAATGAATATTGTTTTGAGATTAAGTAAATTGTTAGGTAAATTGTAAAAGATTCAGAAAAGTACCTAGTACATAATAAGTACTCGTCTTATGCACGATAGATGGCAGGAGAGCTGGCTGATAAGAAGGACCGTGATGCATCACCTTCCAAGGAGGAAAGGAAGCGATCTCGGACTCCTGACAGAGACCGCGATAGAGACCGAGACCGGAAGTCTTCCCCATCTAAAGACAGGAAACGGCATCGTTCAAGGGATAGGCGTAGAGGAATCAGCCGTTCTCGCTCCCGTTCCCGATCCAAGTCTACGGAAAGGTAAAGTAACTTACTGTTTGTTACCTGGAGAGGGAGTGTATGCCTCCCTATTGGGACATGAGTCTGTCATAGGTTTCTCTACACCTGGGGACCCAGTAGCTCTTAAAGGTAAAGAGGAAACTTGTAAGATGAAGGTCCCAATAATTGAGAAAGATAGTTTATCTGTTCACACAGCCCATGGCCTATCATTGTCATTAATACTTAGTAATACAGATTGGAGCTCCAAGACCTTATTAATAGAATTCTCTCATAACTTCTTGGGAAACACATTTTATAATTTGTAAAATGTTACTTTGGAAAAGAGCATGGGAACCTTCTTAGGGCTGCAGTGCAGGTACATAGGAAGTATCACATGATTTCTTAATTGCTCTGTCTTCAGAGATCGTCGGCACAAAGAGCGAGAGCGAGATAAGGAACGAGATCGGAATAAGAAAGACCGAGACCGGGATAAGGACGGGCACCGAAGGGACAAGGACCGTAAGCGATCCAGGTACCTGACGGGTTGGAGTGGGCTTTAGGGCAACGTCCTCACTGCTTCTCTGTGTCTCAGCTTGCCCAGCTTCATGGCAAAGTGAATTTTCCACAGTGAATCCTGTTGGTAGTTATTGCAGAGCTGTCTTTTAGAAGGCGCACATCTTCTTTAGAATGTATAACCAGTTAGTGAAGTCACAGCGCCTTGAGGGTCAGCTTGTTCTTAGAATTTTGAAATTTTCTAGGTTACCAGCCAACAGAACATTCCTATAGCTCCATCAGACCATTCAGTTTTCTACACAGAATATACAACATGTACTTGTTGGGTTAGTTTAATGTGCCAATATCATAATCTCATTGTTCTGGAAACTTTCTATACAAAGTTTTTATTAGGCCCTGAACATGCATCACCGACTCGATGGGCATGAGTTTGAATAAACTCCGGGAGTTGGTGATGGACAGGGAGGCCTGGCGTGCTGCAATTCATGGGGTTGCAAAGAGTCGGACACGACTGAGTGACTGAACTGAACTGAACTGATGTAGGTTAGAATTCAGGGCGAAGGATAGAATCCTCATAACAAACACTGTGGTTATTTGAGATCTCTTGTATATTAAGCTTATAGCAGATGTGGGAAAAAGACTGCTGGGACTGATAGGCAGGAGAAATGAGCAAAATACATATATAGCAGTATCTGGGAAGGGTGTGGGTGGTGGTCATGTTGGCTGAATTCATTGTGCATTACAAAGTAAGGCAGAGTCTTTTTTTTCCCTTCTGATGTGCATTTGCTATTGGAGGAATTTTTTTTTTAATTGAAATATAGTTGATTTACAATATTGGGTTAGTTTCAGATGTATGGTGAAGTGATTTCAGTTACACATATATGTTTTTTTCCAATTCTTTTCCATTATAGGTTACTATGAAATATTGAATGTAATCCCCTGTGCTACAAAGTGAATCCTGTTGTTTATTTTATATATAGTAGTGTGTATCTGTTAATCCCATACTCCTCATTTAGCCTTCCCTGCCCTCTTTCCCCTTTGGTAACCATAAGTTTGTTTTCTGTGTCTGTGAGTCTGTTTCTGTTTTGTAAATAATTCATTTGATTATTTTTTCTATTCCATGTATAAGTGATATCATCTAATATTTGTCTTTCTCTCTCTGACTGACTTTACTCGGTATGATAATCTGTGTCCATACATGTTGCTGCAAACGGTAATATTTCATTGTTTTCTGTGACTAATGTTCGGAGGAAATATTTTTTATATCAGTAGTTAAGACCCACTTCCCAGAGGAGATCAGTCTCAGAAAAGGAGATTCAGGTAGCATGAGGTCAAGACAGGGCCATCATTAGGTTTCAGAGCAGGCAGAGTGACCAGGCCTGCAAGAGGAACTTCAGGACTTGTTGGATGACCATGGGCCAGTCTTGCTGAGTCATGGGAAAACTTCCATTCTCTTTTGGGGAGCTCAGTCTGAATCTCATTCAGGGGCTAGAGTAACAGTGATATGGGGAGTCCTCTGGTGGTCCAGTGGTTAAGACTCCTTGCTTCCACTGCAGTGGATCCCTGGTTGGGGAACTAAGATCTCACATGCTTCACAGCATGGCCAAAAAAAAGTGATGTGGAGTTTTCCCCTGTTCCTTTGCCTTAAAGTTTATCTCCTGGCCGAGGAAAAGATTTTAAATCTCGGAAAGACAGAGACTCTAGAAAGGATGAAGAGGACGAACATGGTGATAAGAAGCCTAAGGTAAAAAGAGGAAGAATTTGTTTTTTTCCGTTATCATCCTCTTCAGTTTAAGCCTGACTTTGTTGTTCTTCAGAGGGAGAGAGCCTCTATGGACTGAAGTCCTGTGTTTTATCTTCAGGCCCAGCCATTATCCCTGGAGGAACTTCTGGCCAAGAAAAAGGCCGAGGAGGAAGCTGAGGCCAAGGTAAGAGCTTGAGGGTCTGTATTAGTTGCCTAGGATTGCCATGACAGAACATATGGACTGAGTGACTTAAACAATAGAAACTTACCTTCTCATAGTTCTGGAGGTTAGAAGCTCAAGATCAAATGGGATTGTTTCTTCTGAGGCTCTAGGGGGATGGCTTTTCCATCTTCACATGCTCTTCCCTCTGTACAGGCCTGTGGTGTCTCTGTGTGTCCAAGTGTTCTTATAAAGAAAGATACAGTCAGATCTGTGTAGGGCCCACCTTTGGAGCCTCATTAGACCTTATCACCTCTCTAAAGCCTCTGTCTCTAAATATAGTGCACTCAGAGGGATGGGAGTTAAGGGCTTCAACATGCAGATCTTGAGGGAGACATAGTTACCAGGCCTGTTTGTGTTTTCTTTACACTTTTAACGCCTGAACAGGTATTTCTGGGCCCCTTGCCGTCTCGCCATCAGTGACGTGAGTCTACCCTGTCCCCAGATCCTTGTTTAGAGTGGTAAATCTATTTTGTAGCCCAAGTTCCTCTCCAAAGCAGAACGAGAGGCTGAAGCCCTGAAGCGAAGGCAGCAGGAAGTGGAGGAACGGCAGAGGATGCTTGAAGAAGAGAGGAAGAAAAGGAAACAGTTCCAAGACCTGGGCCGGAAAATGTTGGGTTCGTTTTCTTACCCCGTGGCCCTCGATGGGGTAGGAAAGGGTGGGACAGGATTGCGGTGTCACTCAGAAGGGCTTGAGACCTGTTTGATTTGGAAGAGGGTGGCTGGGGCACGTTCATGAGAAACATCTTTTTCTGTTAGGTCTTCATTCCTCTTGTATCATAAATGTCCCCCCTTCCTTTTTACTCATTTGGTGTCTGTTGTTTGGATGATCTCCATGCCCTCTTTTTTCTTCCACTGAGTTCTGCAGCTTTGTTCTCCTTGGTCTGCAGAAGACCCTCAGGAACGGGAACGTCGGGAGCGCAGGGAGAGGATGGAGAGGGAGACCAATGGGAATGAGGATGAGGAAGGGCGACAGAAGATCCGGGAGGAGAAGGATAAGAGCAAGGAGCTGCACGCCATTAAGGTTTGGGCCCCACCATCCACACACGCAAATGAGGTTTAGCTATGTGGCCGTTCTAATGTTTGTATGTGAGGTTTGGGACTCCTGCTTCAAGGGCTTTGTGTTCTGTTCCTGGGAAGGAGCGTTACCTCGGTGGCATCAAAAAGCGGCGCCGGACAAGGCATCTCAACGACCGAAAGTTTGTCTTTGAGTGGGATGCGTCTGAGGACACTTCCATCGACTACAACCCCTTGTGAGTGGCTTCATGCCTCAGCGCTAGGTCTTTTAAACTAGGCAGTTGCTAGAGAGAATCAGTGACTACAGAGATAGAAGTGAGATAGGCTGGGATGGGGAGATGGGTAAAACAGTAGTCAGCTGGCCCTCTGGGTGGGGAAAGACTCTGACTGAAAGGGGAACTGGTACACCTTCAGCCTTGTGCTTAGCAGCGCCTTCTCTTTTCCTCTTCCTCTGTCTCAATCCCAGGTACAAAGAACGGCACCAGGTACAGTTGTTGGGGCGAGGCTTCATTGCAGGCATTGACCTGAAGCAGCAGAAACGAGAGCAGTCACGTTTCTATGGAGACCTAATGGAGAAGAGGCGGACACTGGAAGAAAAGGAGCAGGAGGAGTGAGTGGTCAGGGCTACGGGTGGTGGGGCACAGCTGAGTCTACAGGAAGGAGATGGGAAGGATATGGACCCCATTTATTCCCCGTGTCCTGCTCCAGGGCAAGACTCCGCAAACTTCGAAAGAAGGAAGCCAAGCAGCGCTGGGATGATCGGCATTGGTCCCAGAAAAAGTTGGATGAGATGACGGACAGGGACTGGCGGATCTTCCGCGAGGACTATAGCATCACCACCAAAGGTGGCAAGATCCCCAATCCCATCCGATCCTGGAAAGACTCTTCTCTGCCTCCACACATCTTGGAGGTCATCGATAAGTGTGGCTACAAGGTGAGAGCAAGTAGACTGGCCCAGAGATCTGACATGTTGCCAGATTCTAAGGGGTACATACATAGTTTGAGAACAGAAAACTTTGTTCCTTGACTGTTTGGTGCCTTCTCTGCCAGTGGGCACCAAGGTGACGTTGTTGTCAGTTTCTGAAGTATTGTTTGTTGGTTGTGTTTCTTCTCGGGTCCCATATCTTTTCACTGTGTTTGGCTTTTTCCCATTGTGCCCACCCTGACAGCAGCAGCCCAGGTAGCATAATTCTGTCAGTACTCATTGCTATCTGTGGGTCACTGCAGGAGCCAACACCTATCCAGCGTCAGGCAATCCCCATTGGGCTACAGAATCGTGACATCATTGGAGTGGCTGAGACTGGCAGCGGCAAGACAGCAGCCTTCCTCATCCCGTTGCTGGTCTGGATTACCACTCTCCCCAAAATTGACAGGTGAGAGCAGCTGACATTGGTTCCACTGGGTGGGAAAGGTGAAAATGGCAAATGAGCATTTGGTCTTCTTTTTAAGTCTATAATCAGAAGGCCCCTTCTTTATTTAGTCTGGGTCAGATATTAGGGAATAATTGGATCATGATATCAAAGAAGCATATGGTTATTTTATTGCTGGTACAGATCACTCCTTGGAGTGCTTGGCTGTCCTGGAGTCTGATTTTTAAGAGCACTTGTTGCGTTCTTTTCCCACCACCCTCCCCATTCTCATAGCTGCCCTTAAGAGTGACTTTATCTTGCTCCTGTTTGTGGTTGGATGAGAACCAAAGCTCATGAAACTGCGGGCTGCCCCATTTACCACAGGATCGAAGAGTCCGACCAGGGCCCTTATGCTATCATCCTGGCCCCCACTCGTGAGCTGGCGCAGCAGATTGAGGAAGAGACCATCAAGTTTGGGAAGCCGCTGGGCATCCGCACCGTGGCTGTCATCGGCGGCATCTCCAGGGAAGACCAGGGCTTCCGGCTGCGCATGGGCTGTGAGGTCGGTCTACCTCCGTCTGGGACGGAGCTGTTTCTAGCTCTGCCATAGATGCACAGTAAATGACAAGAGGGACTGGTTTGTAGATATGTGCTGTTATTTATGGAGGACTTGGGCACCAGGGATGGTACTTTGCACATCATTAATTGTCACAGTCACCTTAAGAGAATGGATAATGGTACTTCCATTTTACAGATGAAGCTGAGGATCAAGTTAATAACTTGCGCAGAGTCACAGCTGGTGATGGGCAGAACTGAGATTCATGTCTGAAGGCTGTGCTCTTAATCACTCTGCCAGACTGCGTCATTGATTTTGCTTTGCATTCTTCTCAGGATAGGGAAGGAGAGCTTTTTAACAAGGAGTCTGCTGGAGGAATTGAGTCTTCTGCAGGCTTCCTAATCCTACTATCCAACCCCCTCCACTCTATCACTTAGTCTCTCTTCCATCTAAGAAATTTCCTGTTGATGTTGCCTCTTCCATCTAACCCCTGGACCTTACCCAGAGACCCCATTCATTCCTGAGAAAAAAAATCCAAGTGATTTCATGCCAGTTCTCTGGAATTTTCACTCCCAAACCTAAGTGGAGTTTGGGGGCCAAGTTTCTTAGCATTGGGGATCTGTTGCCCAAGTAGCTGGATAGTTGACAAGAGGGGGAGGAAAGTGTACCTGCTGGCGCCACACGTGACTCCCCTGTACCCCCCAGATAGTGATTGCTACCCCGGGACGTCTGATTGATGTGCTAGAGAACCGCTACCTGGTGCTGAGCCGCTGTACCTATGTGGTTCTGGACGAGGCAGACAGGATGATTGACATGGGCTTTGAGCCAGATGTCCAGAAGATCCTGGAGCACATGCCTGTCAGCAATCAGAAGCCGGACACAGATGAGGCCGAGGACCCTGAGAAGATGCTGGCCAACTTTGAGTCAGGAAAACACAAGTACCGCCAAGTAAGGCTGCTTCCCCAGGCCGGGAGAAGTTGGGCAAGTTGCCAAACCTGCTCTTGGGCCCTTCTTGCCCTTGGCGGGCCAGAGCACATGTTCCCAGAATGGTGAGGCATGGCTACGTACAGTCCTCTCACAGTGCTAGCAGTGTAGCCTCTTAGCCTGGAAAGATGATTCTAGAGAGTCATGCTGCTACTGCTGCCGCAGGCACTGGCAAATCACTCAGCCCTTCCTTCCTGTTATCATAAGGTAGAAAGTACTCTGCTGAATAGGCACTGAAGAAAGAAGTGGGATGGCAAGGGGCAGTTTTCTGAAACACTGTTTCCTGTCCAGGCTCATTTTCTGTTTTTTAGTTTGGACTGCGCTGCTTGTGCTGATGGTGGGATGTGTGGTGTGTCTGCCTGAGCTCAGGGCTAGACCTCTTGTTTTCACAGACAGTCATGTTCACGGCCACCATGCCCCCAGCGGTAGAGCGTCTGGCCCGGAGCTATCTTCGGCGACCTGCTGTGGTATACATTGGTTCTGCAGGCAAGCCCCATGAACGTGTGGAACAGAAAGTCTTCCTCATGTCAGAGTCCGAAAAGAGGTATGGGGGCACCTGAGTCAGGGGAAACAGAATGGAGAAGTGGCTCTTTTTAGTGTGAGTGGTGGCTGGAAAGTGATTGTTCTGCCACGTTGAAGAGTTTCTGTTTTCTTGTTCAGAATTCCATGGGCATTGGAGATTCTGGAATTGGTGTTTGTAGATCAGGGTTGGGCATTTCACTTGGAGTGGAGGGGTAGCATGTGTGTCATTTTTCTCATCTTTTTCTCTCCAGGAAAAAGCTGCTGGCAATCTTGGAGCAAGGCTTTGATCCACCCATCATCATTTTTGTCAACCAGAAGAAGGGCTGTGATGTTTTGGCCAAATCCCTGGAGAAGATGGGGGTGTGTCTGGCAGGGGAGGGCAATGCCTTGTCTCTTTGGTGCTGCTTCTGAAACTAGTTGGGCCTCCTGGGCTCCTGCTTTCAATGCCGATCCATTCTTGAACCTTTACAGTATTTAACAAGTCAGGGTCAGAGGGAAAGGGGTGGTAGATGGGGATAAAGAGGACTTGGTCAGTTGCTGTGACTCCCTGTCCATTCCAGCAGTGCCAGCCACAGCTGCCTTGGGTTTTCCTGGAGGTGGGCTGGGGCCAGGGAGACACATATCCTGGCAGGATCTGAAGGTGTGGAGTGGAGTGGGTTGGAGTGTTTTGTTTTCAAGTATGTTTGGGAGAGGGGTTGGCGTGGTCAGGAGGGAGATGTTAGTGATCAGTGTCCTTTGCTCCTGAATCTGGTGTTTGAGGGGAAGGGTGTGTCCTCTCCACTCAACGCTTAAACATCCTTAAATTTCTTGGTCCTTGCTTTCCGCCCTCATCTCGCCCTCATTCTTTCACTGCTTGTCATCTCTCCGGCTCCACATCTCACACCTGATTGCCCTACCTTTAACCTTGCCCTGTTTGTCTTCCCCACCCCCATCTCTCCCATCCCTTTCTTCAGCTCATCTGTTCCCTTCTTACTTCAATTGCCCTTGTTCTCTCTCCTGCCTCCTTTCCCCTTCCTTCTCCCTCTCCTCTCTGCATTTCTCCCTCCCTGTCCACTACCTCCTGCCTTCTGTGTCTCTCTGTGATCCCATTGTTCTTTCTTCACCTCACCATTCTTCCAACAGTACAACGCTTGTACGCTGCATGGTGGAAAAGGCCAGGAGCAGCGAGAGTTTGCACTATCCAACCTCAAGGCTGGGGCCAAGGATATTTTGGTGGCTACAGATGTGGCGGGTCGTGGTATCGACATCCAAGATGTATCTATGGTCGTCAACTATGACATGGCCAAGAACATTGAGGGTGAGTGCAGGGGAGAGCAGCTTTACTCCAGGTAAAGGGTGATTCCTTGCCTGCTTCTTCTCGAATATCTCCACCGAGGGGGCCATGGCTGTCAGCTCTCTCAGCCTCGAGCCTGGGGTTGCTTGTTCCCGTGAGAAGAGCTCCTGTCCTTCATCTGCGCCTGGGACAGCACTCTGTCTTCTGGGTGTGGAGGAGAGTGGAGCTGGGCCACCTTGTCTGGGTGTGATAGGGTGACCTCCATCAGCAGTGCTGGTGGGGAGAGCACCTTGGGCCCTGCAGGTTCAGGCAGCGTGCTCTGTGTTTACTGCCCTCGGTGGTGTGGCAGGGAAGAGGGTGCTTTTAGAAGTGGAGGCCTCAGACACTGCCCACCAGGGCATCTGGCCTGGTGCCCTGACATTCCTCCCCTTCCCCAGATTACATCCACCGCATTGGCCGCACGGGACGAGCAGGCAAGAGTGGTGTGGCTATCACCTTCCTCACCAAAGAGGACTCTGCTGTGTTCTATGAGCTGAAGCAAGCCATTCTGGAGAGCCCAGTGTCATCCTGCCCACCAGAGCTAGCCAACCATCCTGACGCCCAGCACAAACCAGGCACCATCCTCACCAAGAAGCGCCGGGAAGAGACCATCTTTGCCTGACACAGCACTCGCCCCGGGCTTCAGGGCCATGCTCTGGAGCCTGTTCTTCAGGACCCTCACATCTCTTCCCAGGTCCTCATCCTTCCAGGGGCTTAGGAAGCAATCAGACTCCCTGGCCCAGGCCCTCAGGTCTGAAGGCCTGAGTGCACATCTGTCAAAGGGGAGGAAGCTGCTCCAGGAGGCAGGCAGAACAAACTGCCAGGGTTTTGGCCCAGCTCTGCCCCTCAGGCGGGCTTTGGGATTGCATCGGGCCATCAGCTCTTGCCAGTTAAAGAGGCAGCCAATTGGCATCGCCTCCCAGACTGAACAAAAACCTGGCTGCTGGGCTGGAACTTATTTGGCACAGACTTGACTGCCTAAGCTATGGCACCATTGTTGCCCTAGATGACCCAGGGAATTGGGTACTGAGGATTATGGACCTTGGACTCTTACCGTCATTTTGACAGCCGTTTGCCCTTTTGGATTATAAAACAAGTCGAGAGCCTTGTTTAGAGTTGTGCATGGCCCCTGTGCCAAGGGGTGTTGTGCACTCGAGGCGTCCCTCACCCAGGGAATTTTTATAGTAGATGAGGGGACAGGGTGAGCTGGCTGAGTCCATCTTGAAGTCAGTGAAATTTCTGTTTTCTATTCTCTGAGAAGATGAGTTTGTATGTTCTGAGAATAAACACACGAATATTAAGGTTGTGTCTAGTTCTAGCTAAACTCATCTCCCAGCTCCTCCCTAGTACCACAGGAGACAGAAGGACAGCACTGGGCACAGTGGGTTGACTTGGGAGATGAAGGAAAATCACATCCGAAAAAGATCCTTGGGTCTAGGCTGTTAGTTTTTTTTTTTTTTTTAGGCTGTTAGTCTTAAGTCTCTAGGAAGCACTTGAGGGGAGATGGGAAAGGCAGTGACAGTGGGATTGTCATGCATCTTCCCTCCTCATATCTGGCTTCACAAAACTTGTAGCTCTGGCCTGGACAGCCTCCTGGGGTCTTCACACAAGGGTGAGGAAGGAAAGCAGCTGTGAAACTCGGGCAGAAGCACAGTCAGAACTGTTCTCCCACCCTGGAACAGTGTACTTGACCCCGAGTCTTCAGGACCATTGCTTGTGGCTCTGGGATTGCTGAGCCCACTGCTCTGGAAGGTGAGGTGATGTGCACCAGAGACAGCAAGGAGAGATGAGCTGGGCCCGGCTGAGTTTCCGTGGTGGGGAGGGGGCTGCAAGGCCTGGGTCCTCCCCCGGTACTCTTACTCACATGCTCTTCCTTACCCCTCAAAGAGCTGGGCAAGGACATGGAGTTCGAGTTGCAGCTACTTCAGGACCTTTCTGGCCTGAGGCTGGGACAGTGTGAGGCTGTGACTCAGCCTCTTCTCCACCTCCCCAAACAAGTCCCTTCTGTGCTGCTGACAGTTTCCCTCCAGGGCCTGGGCATGAGCGGGTGGGTGAAGGGGTGCCTGGGAGTCTAGTGCCTCCCCCAGCTCTGTCCTTCCCTTCCCACTCAGTGGGTCTTTTTTGAGAGAGCACATTGAGGATACGTCTTCACCTCCTCCAGACTTGGGCCATGCAGTGAGGACCTCGGCTACCTGAGCCAGCAGACAGAACAGGAGCCCGAGGGTCTGCGCATGGTGTTTATTAGTGATGACAGTGAGGTGGGGCAGGGTCTTGTGGAGCATGCTCTGTAGGTAGGTCACACACTAGAGCCTCGTAAGACAAGGGTAGCCAGGCTGACAGGACCTCTGGGGGCTGTCCGCTGGGTCCTATCTCTCCCCCTCTAATCCTAACTTAACGAGCAGCAGCTATGGATCAGGGAATAAAGTCTGAGGCCCATACCCCATGGGCGTGGGAGGCATGAAGGCCAAGAACAGAAAAGATAGAATGCAAGAGCAAAAGAATGAGTGGGGCAAGGAGGCCCCTGAAGCAAGCCGTCTATATGTTCTCTGCTTCACTCGCCCTCCTTTCCCCAGCCCCCAGTCCACCATGTTTCTAGTCCCTGGTCCCTTCAGATGTTAAGATGCTTCCTGGCAGGTGAGGAGAGCCCTTCCCTTCTGGAGCTTCAGCTGGCCCTAGCCCAGCTGTCCGTGCTCCAGCCTTTGTGTGGATGCCCCACCCCAGCTGATGGCAGGAGTGCCACCCTGCTGGGCTTCGATTGCCTCATGTCTCATGTGTGGCAGTGAGGTGAGGAGAGGCCCTCAGACCCCAAAGCACAACCCCTGAGTCTCTCGGGTTAGGACAGGACTGCACCTGCTCAGGGACCTTGTTCCTTCCTCATGCCATGCCGCCCACGCCCCACCCTCTCGTCACTCTGAGTGCATTCCTTCCCTGAGTCTGGTGGGAAGGCCCCTGCTAAGGGGGTCCTGGCCTGAGGGCACTGCCCAGTGGGGCAGTTTCTTGTGCAGGAGGAGAGGAAGGTGCCAGGGGGCAGCACACACAGCTATTTCCTGGAATGGGAGCCTGGGGGGGGGGTGGTCACCGTGCCCAGGAGGTGAGGGGCCCCCTGCTCTTCCCCCAGAACCTCGGGACTGCAGGCAGGCCTGGAGCTGGGGCTGGGCAGGGGGGTTTGGGGGCTGAGCCTAGTGCCAGCCTCATGCCAGTCTAACGCCGACCCGCCTGGAGCAGGGGCCCCAGCCAGCTTGTGCCCGTGCCTGCCGGGGCAGGGTGGCAGGAGGCTGTGTCAGTAGCTATCCTTGGGCCAGGGCCGGTTGCGCTGCCAGTTCCGGTCATTGTGGTTGTGCTCCGAGTCCTGGGCCAGGAGGCGGTCTTGGGGGTCGTGCCCGTTCGCACTAGGCAGCCCCGAGGTGTGTTGGCGGTGAGGCTGGTACAGGTCGTGATAGGCATCTGCATAGTCCTCCTCCAGGTGGCGGGAGCTGCGCTGTGAAGACCCCGTCCAGGCCTGGCGGGAGCTCTCGCTGGCCTCATCTGAGGGCATCAGGCTGTCCCGCTCCAGGGGCGAGTGCTCCTCGCCACGCTCCCCGAGCAGCTGCTGGTTCTGGGGGCAAGATGGCAGCTCTTAAGTGAAGCCGTGTGGACCTTGCCTTGGCCTCCCTACCCACTCTGGCAGCGTGAGGATTCCTGCCCTCAACTCTCGGTCACTGGGTACAGGAAATAATGCAGAAGGAGCAGCACACTGGACTATTCTTCCACTTCAGACAAGGAAAACTGGAGCTTTTGACTCCCGCCAAATCCAGGCTCTGCCTTCAAGACAGGCTAGAAGAGTTTGGAGAGTGTGTTTCTTTGGAATCCTAAGAAATGTGGCCTCTGATTACCTGTCTCATTGCTTTCTTCCCTCATCAGGGAGTGCCTCACCCACACAACCCTTGCTCTGCAATCTGATCCTCTGGCCTTCAAACTGGAGGTCAGGAATGATCCTCTGGGTGGGGAGGGGGCATTGCTTTGGCTAGCTCAGCCTGAGCATCAGTGCCCTTGGAGATGGTTACCTGAAGTCCGGGGATGGCACTGGGAGGGCCTAGAAGCCCAGGGCCGGGAGCTGGGTGGTGGGTCGCCCTCCAGTAAACCTCCAGGTACTCAGCCAGGTGCTCACAGGCATCTTCCAGCTGGTTTTCATCCAGAATCACATCAAACGACTCCTGGAAGGAAGAGAAAGGGGGAATGTTCCATCTCTGTCACCCCACGCCCGCCCTGGAAAAGCAAGAGTGGGCACAGGAGTGGTGCCCCAGCCACTTACGGGTGGGCACTGAACCAGCTTATCGTATGCCATCATCTGTACAGTCAGGTGCTTCATCTGCGACTTCCCTCGGGAGCGGATGAGACGCTGGAGAACCTGAGGGGAAAGGGCAGAGCTGGGCCCAGAAAGCACCGGGCATGTTCCTGACTCATGGCAGGAGGAGCAGGCGAGGAGGACTCAGCGGTGTTAAGCAGCAGCAGGAAAAGGGGACTGAGGAGCCTTTGGGCAGGGACCAAGCAGAGCTGTACTGCATTCTAAGAGGGCAGCCCTGGAGGCCTCCTCCATCACCACGGCTGACTTACCTTCGGGGAGGACACTTTGACAAAGACGATGATGGGGGCCAGTGAGGTCTTGGCCAGCTGTGCCGGGTGGTTGATGGTGTCGGCATCCAACACTACTAGCTGCAGGGATTTGGCCAGCTCGAATATGCGCTCAATCTCACTCTGTACTTCAGCTACGAAGGGAGGGACGGGTCGGGGGAGCCGCAATGCTCACCGGTGGCTCCACCCCCATCTGACTCCAACAGGGCTTTGGGGTCTCCCAAATGGTGGATGGGAAGGAATGGTGGAGGGAGAGGATGTTCATCAAGGCCTGGGCAGGCAGAGGCACAGGGAATTGAGACTGGGGTGGGTTCTTGCCAATCCTGGGGAAGGTGGAGAAGGGGTTGGGCAGGAATGCAAGTTGTCAGGGAAGAGAAAGGTATGAGGAAGGTTTTCACTAATGCATGAGTGGGTAGAGAAGCAGGACTGGGGACTTCTCACCAATGCTGGAGCGGGCAGAGGAGCGCTCAATGATGGTCCTCTTGCCAGGATTGTTGAGCACGGATCGCTTTGCCAGTGAGAGGTCTGCGGTGACTCGGGTGATGGAGATCCTGGGGTGGGCAGGTAGAAGCACAGCCCACCTCTAAATTTCAAGCCTAGGCCCCTCCCTACCCAGATCCTACCAACTTTCACTTTAGAGACCTGGCTACAGTATCTGGAAGGAGGCAAGCAAGGACTTCTCCCTGGTTCTCATGCCTCCCCAGGCCAGAGCAGCTTACCTGCCATCAAACCTATGTTTGAGGAAGTCGAAGAGCGCCTTCTGCATCATGTCTGTGACCTGGGTTGGGCAGGGGGGGGCGGTGAGGGGAAAGGCATGGAATTGACTGGGAGCCTTCTTGGAGATGGGCAGCATCCCCAGGTATGGACATGGAGCTCACCCCCACCACACACAGACCTTGACGGATGGGCGGTGGGGAACATCCCCTCCCACTGTTCCTGTGGCAAGTTTGGTAGAGGCAACTCTGGGGTCAGGGACCTCTCACCTCATAACCTTTCAGAGAGGGTCCCACCAGCACCACAGGCCGCATGGAGGGTACCACGTCATACGGAGGAATATGTTCCGCCTGCAGAATTGACCTGTGGTCATGCAAAGTCATGGCCATGGGGCCTGCCCTTCCTGAGTAGGGTGGGGCAGATGCAGACATTCTGGGCCCGCCCCGTGTTTTCTTGCCCCTTCAACAATGACTGCCCAGAAACCTGTCCCCACAGCTAGACGCCATGAGTACCCCCAAGCCCCAGTCCCTTCCTTGACTCACCTGCTTTTGCTTCTGCTTGGCTTTTTGGAAAAGGAAATAAAAGATTAAAGTTGGTGAAGGGGGAAAGACCCTGAGGGCACAGTGTTCCCATCCCCAGGGGAAACCCTGGGCTTCTCCCAGCTCCACCCCTTCCCACACTGTTCACTGGGAGAATCTCCCTTCCCCCTGTGTCTGAGTGGCCCACCTACCCAAGACAGGTGGGTGGAGGGGAGGCTACCTAGAGACGGAGGAGGGGAGCGTCGGCTGCCAATGTCACTCAGGCTGGTTGGGTTCCCAGATCTCCTGAGAGCAGAGAGGGAGGTCAGTGAGAGTCTGTGTGTGTATGCTCTACACGGAACTCAATAGTTGCACATCTCCTTATGTTTCTGCTAGTGAGACATAGCATGTGACAGGAGCCTTTGTGTGTGGCTTTGATGTGTGTGCATTTGTACCTGTGTGTTGTGAATGTATACATTAGGTCTGAGTGTGCACACTGCATATTGCAGGGGCGGGGTATGCATGCCTGTGTGGTGATGTGGACCGTGGGTAAAGAGCACACGTGGGGAGGTATTTGCTGAGTCTCAGCCCTGCTCTCACCTGGCCTTCTGCTCCTGCTTGAGCCGGATGCTCTCGAGGCGCTGGGGGCTGGGGATGAAGGCGATGTCTCCGCCCTCTTTCACTAGCCGCCCGATCCACCAGTCATTGCTGTATTTCTAGGGGTGGGGTGGGGCGGAAGGGGTGGTGAGAGGAGGCGGTCCAGGCCTCAGCGCTGGCTCTTCAACGAAAAGGGAAGCGTTGGGAGAGCTGGTCTGAGCCAGGCAGTGCAAGGGGAGGGGGTCAGAAGAAGGTGCCAGTGGGGAGGGCAGCCATGTCTGAGACCCCCAAGATTTCCGTGTGAGGCCTCACACTGGTCACAAGGAGCCTCAGAGGCAACTAAGCTAACTGCTCACTTGTACAGATTGGAGCTGAGGCCCAGGTCTCAGGAGGACAGAGACCCTGAGGACTAGGTCTCCGGTATGAGGGGTGTGTGTATGTACAGGGGTGTGTTAAGGATGAGTTTTGGAGTTTCGGAACTTGTTTATTAAAGAGGACTGAAGCAACATGCCTGGGAACTTGGGTAAGAGCAGAGAAACCAAGTGGCTTTTGTCAGGAGGGGGTCAGTCACCTCTTTAATGTGCAGAAAGTCTTTGGCCTCAAAGTTGACTCCAGAGCCCTGGACTGGACACTCCTCATCCAGTACGCCACAGTAGCTGACATTGGTCCTCACAGCAAACGCTACAGGTTTGTGCTGGGGAATGCAACCGTTGGTGCAAATGAGGGGAACCTCAGAGCACCCCTTCCAGGTTCAGTGCCCATCCGTCCACCCAACCACACACATACTCATTCGCACATCCTGCCCATTGACCCCTCAAGACTTAGGACCTGGCACCAGTTTCCACCCACCCTGGCCCACTGTGCCCCCAGCCAGCAAGAGGATACCTTGGCCCTTTCAAGCTGCTGCTGAGCCTGGCTCTCCACTTCACGCCGGGCACTCTCCCGGTCCTCCTCCAGGGAGACGTCTGAGTCCAGAGATGGGCGGCTGGTATAGGAGTCGGCTGAACCCTGGTGTAGGGAGAGGCTGTGACCTGTGGGCTCAGGAGTTCTGGGTACTAGAGAGGCACCTCCGAACCCTACTAACCTCAGCCTCTCCAGCTCCATGGGGGTGGCTGGCCCCGTCAGTCCCTTCTGTTTCCCCAGGAAAGGCACCAGTGCCTCTGGGGCTGCAGGAAAGCCAGTCCAACCCATATGTGCTGAGATCTGGGCTCTTCCTCCCAAACCTATTAATATTGCAGCCTTGAATAGAGCCTCCATTTCCCTCCTTCCTCCCTTTTCTCCCCTTGACCATGTCCTGTGAGGCAGAGGGAAGTGAGATGTACTGAAGATGACATACTGGGGATGATTCGGAATCTTTGGAATCCAGAAGCCTCAACCCTCTTGTTCATATCAGCCTGCAAAGCAGCCTGGAAACTATTTCCTTAAAATGCCTGGCAGGAGTATAGCCAGGAACAGTCAAGAGACACTGGTTGGCATGGCACTGGTCCTAAGTGTCAGGATATAGCTGCCCACCCCCTTAGATCCCATCTGTCACCCAGGGTGAAGGGGAGGACGCAGGGCTCCCAACTCCCAGCAGTTACTCCCTCCCTGCTCTCCCTACCCCCACTTTCTTTCCTCTCACACCTGCTGGGACAACTGGCCAGGTGTGGGCAGCACACAAGACAGACTGAGGAGGAAACATAAAGCTACCTCCTTGAGCCGAGGTGAGGCCTGGCCACGCCTACCACCTGGCCTACATCTCTCCACCCCTTGCCCAGGGGGATATCAGCCCTGGAGCAAGGCGGTGCTGGTGCCAGCAACCCAGCCAGGAGCAACCCTGGGGATAGAGGGAGGGTGTCTGAGTCCTGCTCAGAGGAAGGGCCTCTGGGCAATAAGGGGCCTTAGAAGGGTGGCAGAGCTCACCTTCAAGGCCATGAGGCTGATGCATAACTGAACACGGGAAGCTGGACCTCCCGGCAGGAGGGAAGAAGTCAGAATGTCTTGGTTTCCCCCTCAGTCTAGGGAAAAGGGAGTCTTTTGTTTCCTGCTTCAGTTTCCCCTCTTTATGAGCAGAGGCCTGAAGTGATACTTGCATCAGTTCTGAGGTCCAGGGGGCAGAGATAAGGCAGGAGCCTAGATAAAGGACTGTGTGGGAATGTACACGTGTGTGCATGTGTAGTAGTTCTCAGGCTGAGGAACATTCCTTCAGACCCACTGTGCATGAGCACCACAGAAGGCAGCGGAGGCCCGATTCTGGTTGGGGAAGACAAACTCACACACCTTGCCCAGCCTCACCGTGGGCAAGAGGGCTCGTCAGCCTGCAGGCAGCCCAGGTCCTAGTGTGGAAGCTAACGACAACGTCCGTGCTAGACCCAAGGCATGAAGACAGCCAGAGGAGGGAAGGGCCTCCATTTTATAGATCATGTTCCCCATCTCCCTTGAGAACTAAATAAGGCCGGCTTGGCAGCAGGATAAAGAGCAGCTGAGCCCCGGGAAGAACCTTAGCTCTATCAGCTGAGTAGGGGACCTCATCCCAGGGGCCTGGGGCACAGGAGATGCCTCTGTGGGAAATAGCTGTCTGAAGTGAACAGGGGCCAGCCGGCGAGGGGGCAAGTGAGGCAGGATGACCACTTGGATTGGTAAGTACATGCCAGATGCTTCCTAGATGAGAGAGGAGTCTGACCCTTATGCTCTGTTCTCCAGGCTCTCAGCCTGAGTCATTGTTGTGTTCCTGCCTGGGGCACCTGGGTTACCTGACCCTAAGACGGGAATGACAGGGTCTCTCCCTAATGTTCTGTGAGTCATGCTCAGAATGCAATCCCCTCTCCATCTTTCCCGGTCCTCAGAGCTCACCCATGACTCAGGGAGGCCAGGGCTGCCCCACCAGGCAGACCCTGGGGTCTTGCCTCCCTCACCCCCTGTTATGCCAAAACAGCCAGAGGCTCAGTGCTTTGGAGCTGCCAGGAGTTGGCACTGTGCCCTGGTGATGCCCCCCTCGCCTGGTGAGTGTGTGGGCAGGCTGCAGCTCCACTCTTCCCTGGCACGGGGGAAGGAGAGGAGGGAGATGAGCCGTTGGATTTATTTAGAGCCTGATTTCCCTCCTACTGCTTCAGAGGGGGCCTCAGGGAGAGCAAGGAGCCAGGCAAGAGAAAGGAAAGTGGGGGAGGGTAATCCAGGAACCAGAGAGGGGTGGGGAGCCAGCAATGGGTTAGCAGGCTGCCCCAAACACCATTCCTAAGTCAGGCTTTACCTTGTAACAGTCCTAGCCTTCTCAACCAGGGATGAGAAGAACCTTCTAGGGCCCTCCAGCCCCACAGAGGGAGGTTCATTCTCCAGCTCACCTTGGCACCCTGGGCCGTGGCCAGCTGTCCCTTCAACTGTCAGGAAGAGGTGTTCACCAGAGCCTTGAAAATCATCTGCTCTAGCTGCAATGTAATTAGCCCCAGAGGCCCAGTGGGGAATTGGGCCCAGCAGGGGCCCAGTCCCAGAAAAGGACTGATAGATAAGTGCCTTTCCTGAGCCCCAGAACTCATCTATCCTGGACATGACAGCTGGAGAGGGGAGAAGACGCCAACACTCTCCTTTCAACCCTGCAACGCTCTACCCTCCATATCAGATCAGGGACCCCTCTCAAGCCATCCAGCTGCTTTCATAAGGAGGCCTTCTTGTAGGATGCTGGAGAGAAGGGACGGAGACACTGCTGCTCATCCTTGCCCCATCTTTCCAGGCACTCTCCCTGCTCTCTTGAGCTCCGGGAATCACTGCCTAATGAGCTGATTTGTCTCAGTGGGTCAGGAGATAAAAGCAAAGAGGAGAATTAAATATTTATCAGTTGCCTGGTTCTCTGAGCAAAGAGCTTCCTCTCCATCCCCAGACCCTGGGCTCCTGGCTTCACCTCCCGGCCTCCCTGCTGAGCAGGTGCTCAGGATGCCCCCCTGCCTGGGGATGCCTCAGCAGGAGGAGTGGGATGGCTGGGACACAGTCAGCCGGCCCACCCATGTGCTGGGCACCCAGTTTCCAGCCGGGGAGAGAAGCAGGGCTGAGGGGTGAGGAGGGAAGGCAGTGCCTGGGGATGGCCAGCGGAAGGCGATAATGGAGGTCCTCAAGTTTTATGATCCTTCTGTCTGAAGGGGCTGGTATGGGATTCTCTGCTCTTCTCCAGGCTGCCTAATCTGTCCCTTACTAAGGCACAGGAGGGCTGGATTGTCCCCCTCTGTAAGAGCCCCCCATCTCCTGTGTCTGCTGTGTTCAGACCCCAGAAATCCTCCCTTGGGAACTCCAGACGTTGCCCGAGGTCTCCAGCCCCGCCTCCCTCCACCCTTCTGTCCTGGGCTGTGGAGCCACCTGCTCTGAGCCTCCCCCCACCCGAGCCCCTCTCGGCACACACCGGATGCGCCCTGCTCTAGGACGGGGGCACCGGGAAGCCTCTGGCATGAACATCCATCGCTCCACTTTGCTGGAGCGCCACCCCCCCCCCCACGACATGCCCTGCCCCGCCATAGAGGCGTTCCTCAAAGTCCTGAACTGGGGGAAGGGTCCGAGGGACAGGGGCTGTCACCCCCACTCCCCCACCCCCACCCTCCCCGTGGGCACTCACCGCCTCCGAGTCCTCAAACCCGGGCACGTAGGAGTCGTCATACATGGGGGAGTCCGGGTTGGGGGGAAGCGAGCGGCGCCGGGGGCGGGAGCGGCCCGGAGGCAGGGGCGATGACAGCGGGCCGCGCCCGGGAGATGCCGCCGAGCCCCGCAGCCCTGCGGGCGGCGGCGGAGAACGAGAGCGCGAAGGAGGGAGCGAGCCGCAAAGACCAGCTGCTCCGAGCTCAAATCACCGCTCCCCCCACCCCACCCCCCCAAAACCCTGCCGGTCCCACCCCGAGCGCGGCTGAGGAAATCTGGCGCCGGCTCCTACAACAATAGCGCCCGCCCACCTGACCCCCCTCCCCGGGAGCAGGCGAGGGGGTGGCGGCGGGGGGCGCCGGCCACCGGGGGAGCCCGAGGCCCGGCCGCCAGAGGGTGGCCGACGCCAGCGGGGTAGAAGGTGGGTCCCCGAGCACCTACGGGGCAGAGGGGCGGCGGGGAGGAAGGGGAGGAGAGACTGCGGGCGGGGCGGATCCCGGCGTGGAGGAGGCGGGCCGAGGAGGGACGCGGAGACCGAGACGCTCGGCAACCCAGGAAATGCTCCGCCGGGAAACAAAGGGCTGGCGCGGGGGAGGGGCGGGGCGGAGACGGCCGCGGAACCGAGACCCCGCGGAGCGCGGAGCGGGCGCGGGTTCTGGGGAGGCCCGAGAGAGAGACGGAGTGGGGGGCGAGGCCGAGAGAGGAAGAGGGGAGGCAGGGAAGTGGGAGACCGGAGAGACAGAGGAGGCGGGGCGGGGGCGGGCGGCAGGTGAGAGGGCGGCGTGTCTGCGCCCTGGCGGCCCGGGAGACTCCAAAAGCAAACCCCGCAGGGGTCCTGCGGAGGGGGTTTAGCGACCCCCGGCCAAATGGCGAAAAGCAGCCCCTGTCCCCCGCCTCCCCAGCGCTCTCCCCCCCCCCCCACACGCCAGGCTCTTGGCCCCTTTAGTGCTGGGACTCTCGCAGCAAAGGGCCTCCGTGGGTGCCCAACCCGGGCGGATTGGGGCCCGGCCACCCTACTACACCTGTTGCGCGGGCAGATTTCATCCTAGTCTGGCCAGGATGGGGGTTCCCTTCCTCACTTCCTTGCCAAGGACTGTGCCAGGCATTGCCAAGGCATCGTGGGAACTGGCGTAGGGAGGGGCTGCTTTAGGCAAACCTAAGGGGAGGAGGGAAAGAAGCCCGAGAGTGGAGGTAGGGGGATGGTTGTGACTGGGACCGAAGGAGGGAGCCTGACCACGCTGGGGTTGGCGGGGAGAGCAAGTCTCCTCCGAGTCTAAGGCCAGATACCCTTCTTAGCAAAAGGATGAGGGTGGTCCGGGCGGCCAGTGTGTGGGTTGGAGCCGCAAGTACCACTCTTCCAGTTATCTGCTTCAAAGAGGCACTGAGATTTGAGGTTAGAGACCCGAGCAGCAGCCCGTATCTTGAGGAAACTTCCTCAAAGATCCACCCATTTGAACTCCAGAGCAAAATTATTCCTTTGAATTTTGATTGCCTCCCTACCCTTTCCTCCCCTGTCCACCCCCTCCCAGAGATTGGGGCGGGTGGCGGGGGTGGGGAATGTGAGATAGACAGAGGGGTGCTCTTGGAGAGCTGCTGGGTCCTTCTCCCCTCCCAGAGTCTCACACCCAGGAGGGTGAATCTGAAATTTGCTCATCCCTTTTCTTCCTGGGCTACAGAGAACTTAGAAAACCAAAACTCTAACAGGGTTGGGTGAGATCTGTGGTAGGAAACATTGCCTGGGAGAGAGAGGAAGACCACCCAAACCAACTGGCTTCCCACTTACGTCACTTGTTCGTGTTCCCTTAACAAGAAAAAGAGAAGGGGGTCTCATCTTAAGACTGTCTTGGTCTGCCTTTAGTCTCTCACCACCCTGTGAATGGTGCAGTCCAGCCCTGCCTAACATCTACCTCCCGCAGGGATTTGGCGAACAACTTTCTTGGAGCCCGAATGGCCCACTATTGGGGGAGGCAGTGTACTTTCACAGTTCCCTCTCCTGAGTCCAGCACTATTTGGGGCTTGGTTATATGCTGGATTCTTCTGTATCGGAAGTTCCCAGACACTGTCTTCTTACTTTGTGCCCTCCCCCAGTTCCTCAGTATTTCTCATATCCTCTTTCTGTCTCTTCTGTCCTTCCAGAGGGGCAGAAAGGGGGCATTAAATGTGACACAATAAGACCTTAAGGTGCTCTCTCCTGGGAGATGATTCTAATGAAGACAGCTACTGGGGCATCTGCTTCTCTCTCCATCCCTGAATTTACTCTCCTTGCCTCTCCTTTTGGGACTCTACCCACCACCGGAATATCCGGGGAACTGTAGGTAACAGTTGGTCTGTTATCAACCTCACTCCTGTCTTACACACCCTGTCTTCATCCCCATCTGGGACAGTGATGTCTGAAGTCTGCTCATGAAGCATGAATTGCCATGCCAACCGCCCCCAGGAGATGTATTCAAGATCCTCATACCTGGGCCATCTCCTGGGTCCTGCAGGAGCTTCGGAGCCTCTCCCTGGTTCCCTTCTCTCTGAGTTGCTACTCACTGCCCTCTTCCATTTCTCACCTCACCCACACCTGCCTGCTCTAGTTCTCATGCCAGCCTAGTGCTTCCCGTCCTATAACAAGACGTGTGCCTGTCACTATCCATGTGGTCCCTAATCCCATTTTCTTTCCCCTGGCTGAGCATAAGGAGAGCTGGGGGTTGGGGTGGGGGGGAGGATTCATGGACAAGATTCCTCCTGCCTTCCACTTTCTAGGAGAGCGTCATTAGACCAGCAGCTGGCAGATACCCAAGGCATGGAAGCAGGACATGGGGTTGGGGCTGGGGGGAAGCCTGAATAACCAGGTTTGGGAGTTGGAATTCTTGGGAATCTCCAGAATACATTATAGCTTCTCCTATAAGTGCACCAGGAAACTGGGTGGATCCCAGTCGTGGAGTGTTGAAGAGAGAAACTGAGGCAGGAGCTAGGACCTCTAGGAAGTCCTCCCCAGCAGTATTTAAGATCTGGAGAAAGCCAAAGCCTCTAGCATTCTAGCTGCTGGGCTGCTCCCAGGGAATGCAGGGAGGAGCACCAGGGGAGCTTTGCAGAGTCCTCCCCTCAGTCCTCACATCTAGACCCCTTTCTGGCCCCCACACAGTTTCCCAGCGCTCCACCCCCCCTTCCCATCCCATGCCATCCCATCCTATCCCATCCCATCCCAGTGCTTAGAGGCTGCCAGCACTGGCGCTCCCTCCTTTCCTACCTGCCACCTTTACCCTTAGCCTCACCTACTCCGCCTCCCTCCCCATCACTGCAGTCTTCCCCCAAATGCCAGCCCTCTCCTGGCTGGGAGTGGGCTCTCCTCCCACCCACTGGGGAGGGGGCCCTCGCGTTTACCTCATTCAGCAGGAAGGTTGCACTGGAGTCAGAAAAAGACATAGACCGGGCTGGCGGCCTCTCCCCTTCCCCCGGGCCAGGGGCTCCGAGGCGGGAGCAGGACCAGGCAGCTGCTCTGCACACTGGCTCCCGCCTGCACGCCTGGCCTCGCCCCACGCCCGGCTCCCACGGCGCTCCCTTCCCTCTCTTCGGGCTCCCTCCCCCCTCCCCCTTCCCTCCTCCCTCACTCCTTCCCCTTCCCTCCTCCCTCCCTCCTTCCCTCCTCCCTCCTCCCTCCCTCTCTCCCTCTCTTCCTCTCTTCCTCCCTCTCTCTTCCTTTCTCGCCGCCTCTGTCACTCTCTCCCTCCCCTGTCGCTTTTCAGCCCAGCTTTCTTCATTTACGCCTCTAACCTCCCCTACGATCCCTGTTCTCTGTTTATCTGGGGGCCTGCCACTGTCCGTCCGTCCACATATCTCGCCTTTCTTCCCTGACCGCCCCCCCCACACCACCTTCTCTTCCTTAACGCTCTCCCCAGAAAAGGTAGGGACTCCGGAGCTCCCACCGTCGCAGGCGGAAGGGCAGGAGTAGCCGAAGGGCTGCCCGGACTCCGGAGCTTTAGGCGGAAGGTTCCGCTCCCTCCCGACACCTACTCGGTGCGCTGGGAAGGAAAGGCGCCGCGGTCCCAGAGACGACTTCGACCTGTCCTCAGCAGAGGAAAAGATCGGAAAGGAAGAATGCTTGTGTACGGCTCGCTAGCCCCAGCGTCCAGCGCTCCCTCTGGGTTCCGGGGAAGCTCCGTCCATCTACCCGTCCCAGGCCCAGACCCGGTGGCTCCTATGGGAATCCAACTGGCAACAGTCCAGCGGGGATGCTGGGCACCTGGGGCGTCTCTCCTCTCTCCCGGGTTCCGGGGCCACGGGACTCAGCTCGCACAGGCGGAGAGCGAGGCGAGGCGAGGCGGCTCCTCCCGGCCGGCTGCAGCGCCCCCTGGGCTCGCTCGCCCCGCGGTCGCGGTCGCACACGCCCTCCAGGTGGTGGCACCCGTCTGTCCGGGGGTCCGCCTGTCGGCCGGCAGGACTCCGGCCCTGCCAGCAGGAGGCGCTGCCCTGGCTAGAGCAGAGGCAGCGCGTTTTGGAGCCAGACTCTCGCCCGCCAGACTAACAGGGCCCCCTCATCCGCTCTTTTTTGCAGGAACTGCGATCCCACCTCCAGACCCCTTTGGGATCTGCACTCTATCCCCTCCCCCGAGGGGCTTCTTTGAGGTCTTTGGCCCGTCTGGGTTCCTACGCTGCTCTTACCTCCATCCTGCTCTCCGGGGGCGCTCCTGCTGAGCCCGGCGGCGTCCTGGCCGGCCTGGGTAGCAGGGAGTACGGAGTCGTGAGACCAGTCCTCCGGTCAGTACCCGCTCCCGCCCGCTTCGGCGGGCACGTCAAATAGGACAAGCCCAAGTTCTGGCGGGGGAAGGGGGGAGCAGGGGTGTAACCCCAGCCGGCTGAACCCTTGTGAGCGGATCAGCTTCTCATTGGTCCCTCCAAACCCCCAGTATCCCCAGACTGGACTCTTCTCCATACCAAAGACAGCTGATGGAGGCGGGCGGGGGGGGGGGGGGGGGGGGGAGGCGGGCGGGGTGGGGGCGGGGGGGAGGCGGGCGGTCGCCTCCTACGCCTCCTACACCC